CAACACAAAGATTTAATGTTGTCGGATGCCACCAAAAAATTACAACATGACAATGCCACTCACATTAAGATCGTCCCATTCGTTCCCATTCTCTGACCGATCTTCACGATCTGAATTTTCATCATCTGACCAATCTTCTATCCAGTCTTTCATCAGTTCTCCAAACTCCATGTCTATCATGATATCAGTTAACTACTCGTCCGCCATTTCCTACAACCAATAATATGTATCATCACATGTGCAAACATTATCAATGATGAAATATACAACACATAGCACACGATCACGGATGTTATGTAAACAACCGCAACCGAGGCCGTTCAGATCTGCCAAACTTAGTAAGGAAGATGGCCACGGCACCCGTCGTGATCACTTTCAATCGTGAGGAACTGCACGATCTCAAAACCTAGCTTGATCTATGATTACCTCTGCCGCCGGATACCTAGGTTAGCCGCCACATCAAATAACGATACCGGCGGTGCGCACAGCCGACGGCAACCGACGCTACGTGAACCCAGATCACGTGGAGCTGCACTACCGGAACAAGATCCACGATCGCATGTGCCACCAGGTAGCTAGGTTACCCGCCCCGCTAGGTTAACCACTACCACTGGCGGCGGCAATTCGTTCGATGTTGCCGCAAGCGAGACTAGAGGGGGGACGCGGGATGGGGTACCTGTGCGCGCTCGTTGGAGATTCACGACGTTGTCGCGCCCGCTGTCCGACGAGATCCCCGGCGACGAGATAGCCGCTGCTGGAGATCTACTACGTGACTTATGGAGCTGCGTCAATGCTCGCTAGATTGATGGAGCTGTGTGAATGATTGGATTCGGCAGGTCTTACGTGGACGTGGGGTCGTGTGATATTTTTTTCGGACCAGGGCACTGTACGTATACGGTCTGGGTTATACAGGGCTAGACAGGCTTGGATCTGGGCTACGGCGGGCCAGAAAAAAAACAAACTCGCGGGACAAAAATACCCCTCCGAAATTAGGTCAGGGGGAGCACCGGAGCAGGGCTCGAGCACGTCCCCGAGCTCAAGCTGTGGCTGGGCCTGTCGGACTGCAACCCCGAGAGCTCCTCTCCCAGGTTGTGCGCCTTGGGCCTCTCTTCCATGAACACCGCTGAGCAGTCGCCGACGCCGCAGCATGCTTGGGATTATCTTGACTTGCCTGATGATAACAAGACAGTGATACACGAGTTCCATTTGCTTAACTTGGGCTCCGGCATGTTTTGCATCGCCACACAGATTAGAACCATGCTGCGCGTTTCAGATGAGGACACACCTAGCCCACACTCCTCATGTGCTACTTCAGATGGGGACACATCTAGCCCAGACTATCCAGATGTGGAGATGATCACGGATATTATTGAGGAGGATTTTGTTATCTTAACTGGAGTGAAGGTGGAGAGATGCTGCAATGATGCTGAGGCTCCTCTTCAGATGGTCAAGCACAAGTCCAAACGTTATGACTTTATACAACATATCATGAAGACCGTGCTTTAGCCCATGATATATTTGAATGCCAAGGGAATGAACTTCGTATGAGACTTATATTTTTTATATGTTGGTAACCGTGCAAACGTCTTTACTCATATAAAGAAGTTAAATCAAGCATGCCGTTTATATAGGAAATATTTAAAACATTTTTAGTTCATACAAATGAAAACAAAATTGTCCCTTCAGGGACATCTGTCAATGAAAACTAAACTAATCTAGGTGGCATGGTAATTCAAGGATTAAAACCGTTGCATCTAGGTAAAAACATAAAATGGCAACAACGGGAAAATCGTTCTAAAGAAAAGTGCACAAGAGAAACCATACATCAATCTCTAAGGCCAAAAAAAGGAACAACACATGCATGACGAGTTATCACTATAGGCTCCATCACCATGGTGAGTGCATGTGCAACCACCTAAACCCTTCTCCTTTCTCCTGTCTTAGTACTGGAACCAAATAGGAGGGAGATAATGGGAGACAACTAGAAGGCACATGCCTCTTAGAATGATCTAAGACCCATGTTTATCTATCAAGAATCATGCAATCACAACACGAGCATGACACTAGTATTTGTTAATAAGGTTTAATGACATGGCTACATCACCAGGACACATGTCATTCCATTTTTTATTTTTTTAAGAGACTAGCAGGAGCGCTGTCTTTTCATTAAGTGGAGGAAAATATGTACAGTGTGGCATGTTTTGAAGGGGACATGCTGGAAACCCCAAGATCCGAAGGATCACACTAAGTACCGCATGCTAACTACTCATGAATTTGGATCACTCTTGGCCGGAAGGCCAGATCGCGTTGCATGATTTCCTCGAAGGTAGGTGCGCCACCTTGATGTAAGTCAATCTTGCGCCTTTGAAGATTCGTCGGTTCCTCTCCTTTCAGGCATTCCGCATTATATAGATGAGGTAGCTGCTGCGTCGCCTTCTCAAGTTTTTGTCGGTATTCTTGAGGCCATCACCCCACGAGGCGTCATTTAGGGAGGGAGGGAAGGTGGCATTCGGAGCGAATGCCAACGGCTCTCCCACCCAAGTCAGGACAAGGTTGTAGATTGCCGACGTGAACGGACAGGTCTTGCATAGGTGTTCTATGTTCTCAAGGGTACAAAGGCAAAGTTGGCAGACAGGGTTATGCGGCCCGCCACGCGTGGCAAGTCAATCAGCCGTTAGGATCCTGTTGTGGACCAACCAGGAGAAAAGCTTGCATTTTGGCTCTGCATGCGCCTTCCAGATTTTGTCGCTCGAGAACCTCGGATATGATCTGAGGAATTGCGCCTGATAGGTTGAGCTAGCCGAATATTCACTGCTGGGGTTCCAGTTCCAAGAGATGGCGTCAGATGTGTTAGGGTCGAGATTGGCCGAGGTAACGGTAGAAGCCAACTCAATGAATTCCCGTAGTTGGCCCAATGTATTTATCTTGGCCACATCGCAGAACCAAGCCTCATTTAGGAGCTCATCGTGCATTGATCTGTTTTTCTAGTTGCAATGGCAAACAACCCATGACACTACTGTCGTAGTGCCCCCTTTCCCGACAAGTTGTCGTGCTAGAAAGAGGCCGTATGCCCATCGCCAATGGTGATTGTCGTGGAGGCTCTAAACAGGGCGAAATCGCAAGCATCACAAGGCAGTTGGGACTCAGCCCATGGCCACTCAGGGTCGTTCCATTGAAGCCATATCGAGCCAAATTTGAGCGCCCTCTCAAAGTGTTCCAGGTCAGCGATACCGAGTCCACCAAGCCCTTTGGGGCGGCAGACCATCTTCCAGTTTACAAGCGAATGCCCCCCACTGGCATTGTCAATGTCATCCCTGGCCCAAATGAAATTGTGCGTGACCCGATCCACCTTGGCATTGGCCCACTTCGGCAGAGGGATGAACGTCTTGTGAAAGGTGCCGATTGAGGTCAGGGAGCACTTGGCTAGAGCCAATCGACCTGCTCTAGCAATGTTGTTGCCCTTCCATGCAGGTAGTTTGCCATGAACCTTGTCGACTAGCGGTTGAAGGTGGACCTTACGTAGCTGGCGGAAGTGAAGGGGGGAGACCCAGATATTTTCCTTGGAAGGAATAAATTTTGCCCGAAAACACTGTGAAGAGATCAGACGGTTCGATGCCGTTGCATCAAATAGGGAAGATCTCTGTCTTAGGATGTCATCAGCATGTCATTTCATTTTTTATGACTTCTGCTTCTATGATTTTTCATCATGTTGAAACAAAGGAGGCGTTAATGTTGGGGCGAGCCTTTTTGATTGGCAAAGCAAACAAAACGCTGAGGTAATGCTGACGCGGCACTACGACATCACTTGCGAGTACTACGGTGACTTGGGGAGGAAGTGTCTGGTTTGCCGTTGTGAGGAACTGACAGCTCCTACACGCCTACATGCATCTACGATACAGTGTTCTCCAGCGAGGAGGACTCCCTCATTTACCTTTTCCAATTTCCATGCATGGGTACAGCCGTGTAGGCAGGAGAATGCATCGAAGAAAGGCATAGAGGCAATGATGCACAAACGCCGGG